TCGTAGAAAAAAAAAGAGATGAAGAGAACGTACATCAACAGGTCCGCCAAGAATCCTCACCGCCTGCCTGGCTTGTCTCCCGATGAAATGACGGATTAGACAAAGTACTTGGGAGAGAAAGGCTTAGAGGATCGGTCATAGCTCTAGACTTCTGTACTGTCGCAAGCTCGGCTTTATATTAAAAAAGAAGACAAGGACAATCCGTCAATGGCAGGATTCCACGCCCACTGAAATCAAACAACGCCACTCAGTATGGGTTGGTAACGTTCTCATCAGAAACCGTGCGGTCTGGAATTATATTCGCTACAATTATCACATTATTATTTTTCTAGCCTGCGCATTCTAAACTGTACTTCAAGCGAGAGAAAGGCTTGTACATAACTGGTTACATTTCATCACCGCCGGCCAGAACCCGAATTAGCGCCAGTTACGATGAACTGATTTCCCCTCAAGGAGTCCCCGTGCGTCGAGAGGATACTGGGCTTCAAACTCACATCCGACTCCAAGTGGAATTCCTATATACTATGCATAGCTAAAGATGCAGGTAAAAATCGACACCCTATACCACTCCATAAGTACCTGACACCTCATGCTATCGTCTACCTTTATAAGATCCAGTTCAGGCCGGAAATGGAGTTCTATTGCCATATTTGAACAGGAACTGTCCGGACCTCACTATCCAGCCTTGAGAATGTTTAAAAGCGTCTCCTAGTCCTTGTGGGAAAAGAATTATTTTCCTCACTCCAATCTCTCTCTCTCTCTCTCTCTCTCACACACACACACACACACATACACACACACACACACACAGACACACAGGCTGGATGGGGCGAGTCTCTCATTGCTCTATCGCTACTACCATGCAAAGTGCCCGGATGAACTGCATGTCTTGGTTCTACAAGGTCTGACTTTCGCAGCTAGGAGACGCCATGCACTTACATATTAGCAAAACACCCATATTTCCTCCGTATTCCATCGGAAGGAAGTAAGTTCCACTCAAACATTTTCTTCCCACGAACCACTGCGCTATGGAACAGACTCCCTAGAGGATGTCTCTTTGGTTACTACAATCTTAACCAGTTCAAGTCTAGTGTCAGCCGTTATCTTCCCTTCCTATCCATATAAACTACCCCTTATCGTAACCGTCTACCTTGAGTGGCCTCCGAGCCATGTACAGGGGGAATCTTACTGTAAACAAAAAAGATCTTAGTAAACATTCATAGATATTTCTAAGATTTCCCGAAGAAAAAATATCGCTGAGAACATTTGCGTCAAGGAAAGAGAGAGAGAGAGAGACATGCACACACACACACATAGAAAGAGAGAGAGACACACACACACATAAAAAGGGGGAAGTAACCAAATTAAAATATATGAATGGATACAGGAAAAGATTTATTTATTTGTCTCTTTTGTTCTTTTCAACTCAATTTCTTTTTTTTTGATTCGTCGAAGCCTATTGATAACCACTTCTACAATTACCCGCCTTTGCACCCGATGCCGTGGTGGTCGTCATCGGCGCCAACAACCCAATCGATAAAACCTACCGTTTCTTTAATGCCACCAACACACATTCTTACGGATGTTTGGTTTTCCGTTGAAATGATCAGCACGGAAATTAGTTTCGACGATTTAAGTCCAAGAGGAAAGAGAAATAAAGAACAGGACAACAACGCTGTCAGCATCGACAGGAAATTGTCCACGGTGATGGCGGAATGTTTAAAGTTTTGTCTTATCGCCGTAAACCAAAACGTCGCAATGTTTTCCAGCCTAATGTAATTAGCGACTACGCTTAAACCAAACTGAAAATGAAGGCGCTTTTATGTAGTCAATTCTGATCCAAGCTTCAGCGTCAAAAGTTGCCATTTGGACTCGGATAAAAGGTTTACTTCCGGTGCCGAATTTCATGTAAACACCTTTTTCGGTATTAACAGAATACCATCCTGGGCTCTCACAGCAGAGATTCAGAGAAAGATCCGATCAGTTTGAAGTAAGATGCTGCAGGAGAATCCTTGGTATATTCAATGAGGAACACAACAAAGGATAAATAAACCAGAAAAACTATCCTGGGCTTGCACAGCAGCTAAAGTTTAATACCGCAGAAGATGTCTTGATGTCTCCAATATGGAACACGTAAAAAATTATTCAGAAAAATTATTAGATACCATTTTCGCTAGTATGAAGAGGTGAACACACTGATAAAAAAAGAAAATAAGATGATATGGCCACGTGACATACTCTCGAAGACAATCCTTTTGGGGGTGGGATACTGCAGAGGAAAGATATACGAGGCAAACAGCGAAATATGTAGGCATACTACATCATTGAGGAAACAGAAGAGTTTTCTCGAGATTCAAGCCATCTCCCACAACTGTCGTGTCAGGTAACGGTGATAGTAACTACACTATCAAAATAAACTAGTTAGTACTAATTAATACTAAATTTGCTTAAATGGTTGCTTTCTACATAAATAAACCAGAAAGACTATCCTAGGATCACACATTAGTTGAAGTCTAATACCTCAGAGAGATTCCTTGGTATCTCCAACATGGAAGCCATTAAAAAAGAATTCAGAAAAATTATCAGATTGCACTTTCGTTGGTATGAAGAACTGATCACACAGAAAAAAGGAAAATAAGATGGCATGACTATGTGATATGATCTGACGGACTCTCCTTTGGGGGCGGTTACTGCTGATCTACGAGACAGACAAGAAAAGAAGTGGAAGACAACATTACTGACAGAAGAGTTTTCTAGAAATTCAGGCCCTCTTCCACAACTGCCATGATAGGCAATTGTGATAATAACTACACCATCGAAATAAACAACAAACCTACCAGATTTGTTTTGAAATAAGCCACTTCCGACTTTGACTTTAAATAAGCCACTTCCGACTTTGACTTTAAATAAGCCACTTCCGACTTTGACAAATATATGGCTTACTTATTTTTTTTTTTTTTTTGCGAAAAGAATTAGTACTAAATTTGATTAAATTGTTATTTTCCATGTTTTGTTCCACCAGTTCAGACCTTTACATATAAGACCCACCACGCGATGTCCACAGGGGCGAACTGTTCTCATCCACTTCGGATTCCGTTGGTAAGAAAGAATTCTCTGTCAGTCAGCTTCTTCCTAAAAAGTCGCTGGTCTGTGACACAGATTCCCAAGTGGATGCTTCCCCGATCACAACAATTTTAACCTCTTCGAATCTAGAGTGAACCGTTTATCTATCCTACATTTCCTCATAAAATACAAATCATAAAACAATAAAACACTACCTTGAGTGGCTCTTGGGCTTTTTTATTGGCTAAACAAGAGCGTGACAAAATTAATTCCACATATTTCCTTTGATTCATTCCATTTCTACTGGTGTACCAGTATTTCTAATAATGTGAGACTGGCTCCCTTGATGATGCTTCCCTGACTGCTCTATTCTACATAGTTTCATGATCTGAAGTCCTTACTGTCTCTTCTTTTGTCCATAAAACAATTTAGTAGCCGTCTATCTTATGTGGCCTTATGAGTGAAAAATAGCGTACAACAACAATTCTTTTGCATTTTTTTTAAGGTAATTCATCCCAAGAAAGGCGAGAGTGCCACTAACACACAAGGGGTTACAGAGGATTGAGAACAAGAGTAAAAAGGTGGGTTTGAGGAAAGGACAGAGAGGAGGACGGAGAACAAGCTCAGGGTGTCAGATGCTGATTGACATTACACTTGAATATTTGAAGATTATAGTCATCGGAGAAGCAAGTAAGGGGAAGGGAGTTCCACAGATTGGAAGTGTGGGAGAAGAAGCTGTTTGAGAAGGAGAGACGGTTACATTTAACCATTTTGAGAGTGAAAGGGTGGGACCGAAATGCCAGCCTGGTAGCTCGTTTAAATTCATGTAGTCCGGAAACCAGCGAAAGTAGCTCGTCCGAACAGTTGCCGTGAAAAATATTTGTAGAAGGGACAGAGGGAAGCCACGGAACGTCTGTGTGAAAGCGATTGTAGACTAGATGCCAGATCAGGGCCTATCATCTTGCATATTCGTCTCTGGATTTTGTCGAGGACCTCGAGACGTACAGCGGAACCAGCAGACCATATATGACAGCAATATTCCATGCAAGGGCGAATGGTTGATTTATAGATTTGAAGGATGGACTCAGACGAGAAAAACCTTCTGGCATGACACAGAGAACCAACTTTCCTTGCCGTAGATGAAGCTATTGATTCAATGTATTTATTCCACCTTATATCAGTGGACAGCATGAGACCAAGCAGGCATAACGATATTTCTCCAGAGTCAGAACCCCCCATAGAGGAGAACATGACTAAAGACTGCGTGTACACTATCCCGTGCAGCTGCGGAAAGAAATATAAAAGGGAAACAGGTCGCCCCCTTAAGGTAAGGCTTCAAGAACACCAGAAAACTATAACATGAGGGAAGTGGTTGACCACATATGGTGAGAAAAGGGAGATCACCGCCCTCTGTGGGATCAGGTTGAAATAATAGACAAAGAGCATCATTGGAAAATTCGTAAACTTAAGGAATCAACACACATGTTAGGCCACAAAAATCTCCTGAGTCGAACAAGTATAGGAATGAATACAATATGGGAACCAGTAATAAGGAGTGCCAGAGAAAAGTGATAATAACAACGAAAATTGCAATATGAGCACTGGTAAAAATGGTTGCTGAAGACATTAGGTTTATAAGTCACAGAAATTCATACACAGACGTCTTCAAGTCGCAGTGGATAAAGGCGTTAGTTAGATCACCCAAAGTGTGTGAGTTCAATGCCTGATTAAGGCAGTGGAGAACTTGGAGAGGGGAATTAACTGGAGATATCCCTTAGACATGGCACGTGGAACTAGAACAGTCTACCCCAGCGAGCGACAGTCCAACCACCCGAAGAAGGCCGGAGCATACAACGGTAGAAACGTTGTGATAAATATGGCAACAAAGATGAGGACGATAGTCAAAACAATGTAAATAGTGTACACAATGCCCCATTTCAGAAATATAGACAGATACAGATAGATATGAACAGAGATAGATAGATAGATAGATAGATAGATAGATAGATAATAGATAATGAAAAAAATAGATAGATAGATAGATAGATAGATAGATAGATAGATAGATGCACGAAGTTAAAGTAAATGATAATCGTAGGCTTGTTAGAATGCCAACCGTTCTTGACAGAATAAATTATTTCTTATCTCGAATCTTATCTGTGTATAAAGTGAGTCCGTATGTTGTTTGGTTGTTTTCATCTTATTCTTCAGCAACTCAAATTCTTTTCGACGTGGATGCCTCAAATGAAATAGTAACAACCGCGCGAATTTGCCCCCGAAAAAAAACAAAAAAACTCACGATATATCGACGAAATAAATTCCTCAAATCTTTCTTTTCACCTTTTATTAGACATCGATACCACGCCCGATAATCGCTCGAGATGCCGCGATGTGTTTGGCTAAAATTCGCGCACTGGAATTGGTAAGATAGATAGATCGATTGCTACATACATATGAATAACATTAGATAGATAGATAGATAGATAGATAGATAGATAGATAGATATGAATAGAAAGATATATAGTTCGAGTGATGCATAGATATGAATAAACTGAGATAGATAGATAGATAGATAGATAGATAGATAGATATGAATAGAAAGATATATAGTTCGAGTGATGCATAGATATGAATAAACTGAGATAGATAGATAGATAGATAGATAGATAGATAGATAGATAGATAGATATGTATAGAAAGATATATAGTTCGTGTGATGCATAGATATGAATAAACTGAGATAGATAGATAGATATCAACAGACTGAGATTGATAGCTGCCGATAATTCTCTTTCCCTTCCTACATACATATGGTCCAAGCGATGAAAACATTATTCAGTTTGAAGAAGTCATTTCGAAAGTCGAAAAGTTCGTATACGATTTTATGCATTCTGATATTCAATTACTCATGATAGATAGATAGATAGATAGATAGATAGATAGATAGATAGATATGAAGAAACTGAGATAGATAGATAGATAGATAGATAGATAGATAGATAGATAGATATGAAGACACTGAGATAGATAGATAGATAGATAGATAGATAGATAGATATGAACAGAATGAAACAGATAGATAGATATGAATAAACTTAGATAGATAGATAGATAGATAGATATGAAGAAACTGAGATAGATAGATAGATAGATAGATAGATAGATAGATAGATAGATATGAACAGAATGAAACAGATAGATAGATATGAATAAACTTAGATAGATAGATAGATAGATAGATAGATAGATAGATAGATAGATATGAATAAACTTAGACAGATATGAATGAACCTAAATAGATATGAATAGAAAGATATATAGTTTCATTGATACATAGATATGAATAGACAAATAGATAGATAGATATGAATAAACTAATAAATACGTAACATCTTTGATTTCACCTTTTATCAGACGTCGATATCGTGTCTGGCTAAACTCCGCGCATTAGAATTGGTAAGATAAAGTCGTTTGATTCAATGAAGTGAAAGATAAGATATTTAAACTACGCTGGAAATCAGAAATGATTTCAGCCAGATGCAAATTGTGGATTAACGGCGTTGCACTGAAGAAAATCAGTCAAGTATAAATCAAAAACGTAATGGCGTTGATAATCAGGTGGGAGGAAAAATACACTTGCCTTATGATTGTCCATTATGACAATAAGGCCAAACAGTATCCCCATTATCTATATTGATGAATCTAGCATGTCATTATCTATATAGACTTGTATTTACCATTATCTATCTATCTATCTATCTATCTATCTATCTCAGTCTCTTCATATCTATCTATCTATCTATCTATCTATCTACCTATCTACCTATCTATCTATCTATCTATCTTACACCCTTGTGCAAATTAAGGGAAACAGCCGCTTTAATTTCCTATCTTTCACCATACGTTCAGTCTTAGACCCACTGGAGTGACAGCGTGTAATCAATTTCTATTTTTTTTTTCCTCAGATTAGGTCATTTGCAGTGGTGTACAGTAATATGAATCTATTTCGGGAAGTATGATAAAATTTGTTTGGCCTTGAAAAATACTGAGTCATCCGTGATTGCATCAAAATTTTATCAAATCCAGTCACTATTGTCCCGACTGTCGATTAGTTGTCCTACGGCTACTGTCTACTATGGACGTTACTCCAAGGAAGCGTACGAAAATTGTAATACTGCAAGCCTTACCAGTGAGCAAATGAAAGTAATATAGACTGGTTCGGGAACTCTCCTGATTTAAATCCAATCGAGAATCTGTGGTCAGTCTGCAAGGAAAATATTCGTGCAGTGGACATACGAAGTACTAACATGTGCACTGGGTCTTGTTTGATTGGAAATTACGAAAAAGTAAATAATAACGAAATTATTCGTTTTATTTCAATTAATCTTTATTAATATGTTCATAACTATCTATCTACCATAGTTTGTTCATATCTATCGAAAGTGATAGAACTAACATAGATTAGTTGGACTGATGTGAGTTTGGTACCGGAGGGACCCTGAGTTACATTCAGGCCAGTAAATGAAAATAAAGTAAATATACTGTTTAATAAATATCTATCAAATCAGTGTCCACTAAAATAAAAAGTGATTTCATATATATATATATATATATATATATATATATATATATATATTTATATTGATATTAATGGTAAATAAACATGATTGTCATATATCTAAAAATATATAAATTTAACAGGGTTGACTGGTGTATTTTCGTTGCCTGGTGTTAGTGGAAGGAAAAATGCTCCTCTGTGTCCTTCTCAGGATGACTCTTATACGCACGCACACACATACACATGCATATGTACGTATTGCAGTTTTATATAAAATATAGACATATATGAACAGATTAATATTCTTTCGTTTTTTTATTATTTTTCATTTAGATTCCTCGACTAGTTTCGGGCTAAAAATGGCCATCATCAGGAGGAAATATTTCTGCTTGCTGTTAGTAGTAAACTACAGCAGATATTTGAATATATATATGTGTGTGTTGATATGTGTATATGTGTATTCACAGACATACGCAGTAATATATATTTTAGCCACTGATTTTCCATGTTGGAAATATATAGCGAATTTTGTCCCCAAGTGGTAGGTTGTTAGGTTGGTATGAACTCAAAACTGGTGTATTTTGTCTGGTGTTAGTGGAAGGAAAAAAATGCTCCTCTGTGTCACTCAGGATCCAACCAACGCTTTATCCACTGAACAGGGTCAGATATGTATATATTGTAGTTGAGTGTTGGATAAAACAGAATTTTTCCCCAGGAAGCTCAAAGGCAAGTCACTGGATCCAACCAACGCTTTATCCTTCAACAGAATTAGCTCAAGGCCTTCTTCAACAGAATTACCGACAAAGAAACCCGAAACAGGATCCAGCATGACCTGGGATAAATCCTTCATACACGATTTTGATGCAGTGAAGGTCCGCAAAATTAATCAGATTGAAAGATCAGAAGGTGATGCACCAGATCAATTACCCTCCAGTGAAGGCAGTAATCAACATCTGTCAACACAAGCTGAGTCCCTCTGCGGATTCAGTAATAAACATGAATCTCAACTTTGCCACAATCATCAAGCGGATACCATACTTGGACATCATTGCCCGAATCTAGGAAATAGCCTTGAACAATTCTCAGGTTCGGACGAAGATGGAAAGGGATACAGATACTGGAGAAAACCATGCGGCCCAAATCAGGAAACCGGAGAGGCTAGCAATTAGAATTCTACAGAGGACTGAAAACATCATCATTCAACAGGCTGACAAAAGCAATGCAACAATAATAATGAACAAATCGGAATATACAGCAAAATTGGAAGACCTCTTTAGAAATGGTAGCTACAGTAAAGAAATATCCGACAATGAAAACAGAACGAAAACTGTCGCAGATCCCAGTCAAGAATAAGGACTACTTCCCATCTAAGACATAAAGGCAGTTGTCACAGCATTATACCAAGCTACCTCTCATATACGGTCTCCCCAAAATTGACAAAGACGTATTTCTCACAGACCAATTGTGAGCTGCCAAATGCTCTGTGAGCCACACTTGCTTCCTGATAGATATAATCGACCCATTAATAGGAAAGTGACCTTCATATATCCGAAACTCAGCCCACTTAGCGAAAATAATCAAAGATGCTTCCATCCAATCCAACCAGATGGTGAGCCTGAACGTGGTTAATTTGTTCACCAAGGTACCCACGGAGGAGGTACTATCGGTAGTTAGAGACAGACTGGCCTCAGACTCACGAGGAGAATGGACCAGTATACCATTAGATAACCTAATGGAGATTCCGACATTCTGTACACGAACAACACACTTCAAAATGGGATCAGACATATATCGGCAGGATAAAGGCTTAGCAATGGGCTCGCCATTATCACCAGCAATGGCACATATATACATGAAATACTTCGAATAAATGATATTAGAATCCACATCACTAAAGCCAGCCCTATGGCTGAGGTACGTAGATGATACTGTCATACTCTCTCCTCACCAGAAAGAGGTCCATCTATTACTCGGCCATGTGAACTCAATAAGATCCTCGACACAGTTCACAATGTAAAGCGAAAACGACAAAAACTCGCCTTCCTGGATGTACTAATATCCCTAAAAGAGCATGGGTTCAAGACATCCGTATAATGCAAGCCAACATTCATCGGACAATAGCTCAACCATACAGTTTAAAGAAAGTGATCGCCAGCTGCTTACTACATCGAGCAAAACTCAAAAATGACGACTCACATACACATGAACAACAAAAAGTCAGCATAATCAGTACCCTACAACTTAAAATCTACCTTATCTATCTATACATGAGAACAGCTCCGACAAACTGGGATGCAAGAGGAAAACAATACTCAGAAAACAGCTTCAGTGTGCCTATCGTGTGTGAAGGGATTATCGAAAAAGGTACAAAAGATCTGTGGTCTATATAACATCAGTACGACCTCCAAAAGTGGTTTGCCACTTGGGCAATGATTCTTCCGAGTAAAAATCGCCCCCATAGAGGAGAAAATAACTAAGGACTGTGCGTACCCCATCCCGTGTAACTGTGGTAAGAAATATAAAAGAAAAACAAGCCGACTCCTTAAAGTAAAACGGCAAAAAACATCGTAAAGCCGCATGACGTAGGGGAATAGAAAAATCAGGCGTAGCTGACCCCATATGAAGGGAAAATGTAGATCACCGACCCCTCTGGAATGAGTTTAAAATAAAACAAAGATCACAGGAAAATACGAAAACTTAAGGAATCAGCACATATTCTGGACCACAAAATATCTCCTAACCCGGACAAGCCTAGAAATGAATTCAATATGGGAACCAGTGATAAGGCGTGATAGAGAAAAGCAATAATAATAATAATAATAAAAATATGAGCTCTGATAAAAAAAAATAATTTACTGAGACATTCAATTTATAAGTTCGAAAAATTTATACATTGACAAAGAGTTTTGAGTTCAATACCTGGTTACTGCAGTGGTGCACAAATCTTGGAGAGTTAAGTTAAAGGGAGATAACTGAGACATACGAAAGAGGCATGGCACATGGAACTAAAACAATGTACCTCGGTGTGCGGAATAAAGGGTCTGGTTTGAAATTCCAAACACCTGAAGAAGGCCGGAGCGTACAACGGCTGAAACGTCGTATATATGGCAGTAAAGATGAGAACAACAGTCCGAACAATGTAAATAGTGAAAATAATTACAGAGATATTAAAATGATATAAGTATTAATTACATTATTTAAAAAAAACAAAACATTTACTCACTTTTGTTAAATTTCACCACTTAGCTTCCTCCATAACTTAGCTAGATTTTTCACTTACTTTGATGTTCACTTTTATATTTACATACGCTCTATCTCTGATATTGAGCACTTTATCCCATAAATATACTGTATCTTAAAACTATATTTCTTCACACACACACACACACACACACACGCACACAAACACACACACACACACACACACACACATATATATATATATATTCGTTTTTTTTGGGGGGGGTCATAGGATAGGAGGGGTTACTGAGTGTGGAAGAAGAAAAAAGAGTGAGAACAAGAGAAGTGTTATCAAGACGACAGTAGATAACAATTGACATTGAATTTAAAGTTTTGAAAATGAAAGATGACTAGAAACTACAGAGTCGGAATAGATTTCCACAAACAAGAAGTGCGAGAAAAGAAACTGTCAGTATAGAACTTACGGTTACATCTAGCCAACTGTAAATTGATAAGACTGATGAGAATTTCCAGGCCAGTGTGTTCGCGCAGCGTTACAATTTTCGTACGCTTCCTTGGAGTAACGTCCATCGTAGACAATGGCCGTCGGACAACTAATCGACAGTCGAGACAATAGTGTCTGGGCGTGATAAA